TCACACATTTGAGCTTATTCCTGTGTCCCAGTCACTTCCCAAAGATTTTCATGTAAAGAGAAGTATACTTTATACTTTGTAGTACCGGTATATGCTCTGAGACAAAATATAATTTTCTAATGAAGCATTCAAGATGTTAGAAAAACTTTAAATGCACCTTTTTAGATCTTTGAACCAATGGTATTTTGAAGGAAGAGTGGGATTTGTTTTAAATCAAGTATTTTTATTGATTTTTTATTTTTTTATTTTTTACATACAAAAAAAAAGAACGCAAAGAACAAAAAAAAAAATCCTTTGTTTTTAATCAAAGTATTTTTATTGATTTATTGATTGATGGATTGATTTTTATTTATTGATTTTTTACATACAAACATACATTTTTACATATAAACAAAAAGGAGAACGCAAAGAAGAAAAAACCCTCCCCACACCATGGAAGAGAGGGATTTTCCAGGGTGTACCCCGCCCCTCGCACAGTGATTGCTGGACATGGGCACCAGCGACCCCCGTGACCCAAAATGGAATAAACGGGTAAAGATAATGGATGGATGGATGAATATTTTTCTAATTCTAAAAAATAAAGCAGCAGAAAGACAAGTCTCACAGAGACACTCAAACATGCTGTGTGCACCCACAGCTCTCGCTCAAGAACATAAACATTTAATGCAAAGTTAGATTTTAGTCCTGGGGAGGTTTGTCAGCCAGAGAGCGAGATCAGTGGTGGCTGTGTGCATGCGCCGCTTGTTTGCAGTGCATCTGTGCAGGGATGATCCTGACCAACTGTGAGCACGCTCTGCTCTGATTATTGGGAAAACTTTGACTCTAGTTCTCTTGGTTGATAAAATTATCAGTTAATTTCCTGTATCATAATTAGGTTGGATGTATTTATAAAGACCACAGCAAAGCATGCTCTTTGCCCTTCTCTTTTTACAGATGACAGAAGTCCATCTTGGCCACATTCAAAATGGTGGAAATTTGTTGTGGCGACAGATAACTTTATTTCCTGGAGCTAACTAAAGGACAAAAACAGCTAAATAATTAAAACACACTGCAGAGAAGAAATATTAGAAAAACTATGTAAGAAACCAGAAAAGTAATATTCTGCGTAATTACTACTTTGAAATATAAAGTGCTACAGTTCACATTGAATTTGTGTTTGCCATGGCAAAGAAAGGAAAATAACATTTTTCTAACTTACTTTCTTTTGAAGAGAAACAGACATTAATTTTAAAGTACGGGACATACCAAACATATCATGAAGTGGACCTAAGGGCACCTCGCTAAGTGAGCAGCACATATTTATATGAGAATCTTCTCATCGTGAGTGACGTCCATAAACTCCTCTACAATATGTTTTTAAAAAATGCTGTTTAAAAAAAAAGTTTTTTGGCTATCTGCTGTTAAATACAAATAATCCTAATACGAGTGAAAAATGTGTGAGTAAATGTTATACTATTAGTCTATTGTGCCTAAAATACTAATGTAAACATACAGTAATATGCAAAATGTGATTATTTAGGGTTTGTTTGGATTTTTGCTTGCAATATGTGAAAATACTTTGTTACTCAGCAGTGTTTTAGTGTATTTATACAGAAATTACTGAAAAGAAATGTGCCCATGACTAGTGATTATTAACTATGTTAGTTAGTTAGTGATGACTCACTCTGCCATTAACAGGAATGTCCCACACTGACACTTAGAAAAACCATGACGTTCATAAAATTTAATGGAAAAAAAAAAATCAATTATCACAAAGTTTACAATGCAATTAGCCCGTTTTCTATACTTTTATACAACTTCATCTTTGTAGTAATATCACCTTGTGATTCTTAAAGTTCTTATTAGCACTTCTTTAATAAATCAGGTGGCACCGTCTCTTGAGAGTCCACCTTCACAGCATCAGTTTGACAGACATCTTCAGACCAAAGCCTGTTCCTGTGTGTGTTTGTTGCTTTTGTCGCTGTGGCGTAGAAAAGAATCAAAATGTCAAAAATGTCTCATTAAAATGACAAAACCACTCAAACACCAATGGTTCACACCTAAACTCAACAGTGCTGCGCCTCTGTCAGCCTACCAAGGCAAAGATCAGAGAGCCACGAGTGGACACAGCCAGGCCACAGGAAGCACACAAACACATTTATACTGTATCTAGGTTAACTTTGTCTGGCCAATCTGCTCTGGTTTCTCTACCCTTAATCTGCTCCCCTGCTTTAACACGGTGGGAGGTACATAATACGAGGACAGGATTTTCTTTCACGGGGTGTGAACGATGATGCTGCTGTACATCAACCAATCAGGAGGCAAGAACAGAAATGATCATCAGGCGTGCAACAATGAAGATGATCTGTTTGTTTTCCTCATGGCAGTCAATTTAGAGTTTAGCATATCTAGAATTAGGGAGCAGTTGGATTATCAGTATTTCCTCTGAGCTGGATAAACAAACTTTGAAAAAATTATATGAATTGAAAACATGACATGTTGTCATATTGAGGTAAATGAACTGTGGTGTGGTACATATTTCATCATCTGCATTGTGGTACAAGAGGCCCAACTCATCTCAAATGGTTTTGGAGTTTGAGCTTTTCTATATTATTCAGTAGTTGCGACATTCTTAATAATGTACTTTACATATTAGAAATTGTGATTACATTTGTACTACTTGTTGAAAATGCTGCTCAACATAGTTTTAGCATTTATGTCAACACCCAAGTCATCAGCACATTCTTTAATCTGTAGGTTTTATGAAATGCAATGAAGTAAACCAAATACCATGGCAAGAGTACTGCGATGTTCAGATTTACACCCCTTGAGTTGAGTTGTATTTTCTTTGTCAATACGTTCGAACAAAAATCCTGAAACATGCGTGCCAAGTGCTGGTGAGCATGTCCAGAATGCTGCTCTATCAAAATACGTAGAAAGAACATGCTTAGCTCAGCGTAAAATTTTCCCTAAACCTATTTTCTTCTGTACTGTTTATATTCTCCTGTTATTAATCATTTCAGCACACAACGTTTGATAGTGACAAGATCAGGATAAAGAGACAAACATGAAAATTCAGTATAAATACGTCCAGTGTTGTTTCAGTTTCTACAGCATCGTCAACATAATTAAAAAAACTCCATTTCAATTTCACACACGTGCACGAGCATTGGGCTTTTAAAGAAATATTCTCTTTGAATGGAATTTGTTTAATGCTAATGTTTCTCACCAAAACCTCCAACTCTGTGAGAAATCGAGGTGCAAGTGCAGCAGCATCAAAATATCCTGAGACGGAGCATCTGTGCCTGAAATAAACTCACTGCGATGCCAATAAACAACAATCAGCTGTTTAATATATGATACAGTTTATAGCATTCATTGGAGCCTGTCCTAAATCTGACAAAAGATTGGTTTTTAGAAGGAATTGTTTAAGGCATGTCAGATAATTTCCTGCAAATAGCTTTAAAAAAAAAAAAATGAAAGTGAGGAACAATTAAAAAGAAAATACTCTGATTTTAGTAGAGGTGAAAAATAATGGGAGGTTCTTGCTCAGACCAGTAGAACTAACCAGAATGAGGACACAGCTACTCGGAAGGAGGTGGGAGGCGGAGGGGGACCCCCTTGTTTATCCAGAAAACGCATTAATATGTGAAGGCAAACAGCACGATGGGATATTTATGAGAAGAAGCATTGTGGGTTATAAAGGTCAGTCCCATTTAAACTTGTGAAACAAGCTGATCATAAACATAGAGGCTAATTAAACATGCAGTAAGACTGCCCACCCCCGCATTCAGTTCTGTCAGAATATTTCCCTGTTATCACAAGAAACACGTGTTGTAGATGTATTCACACAGCCAGTCAAATAAACCTTTATTCACCTGTTCATAAACAAATCAGTAAAGTTATGCATTAATTTGATCTTTAAATGATTTCTGTATATGTTACATGTGAAACGTTCATTGATCTTATAGATACAACGACTTGGATTCCCAGGACTTTTAAATTGATCCTCGCTGGTTGAAAGTGGGGAGATTGTGTTACAGAGTATCAGTGTAACTCATTCAAAGATAACGAGAAACTGAAAGATTAAAGAGTAGAGGACGAGAACATTGATCTCCAGCTGCATCCAAAGGGCACTTCTATCCTGATGGATCAGTGGAGATCCATTCCCCCTTCTCCTGCTTCCCATGATCACTCCTCGGGCCTCCTCCCCTCTTCCTTGCTCTGATCACCAGACCATGCATTGGTATTGTCCTTCTGACCATGTGCTGCTCTCTCACCATAAATTAGACTCGGCACCACCCAAAACAGCAGAAGGAGGAAGCCCTGGACTGCATTGCCCTTCACTGTAGAGCATCTGGACTTACATGTAAATTAATCACTTCTCAGCTGCTTTACCACAAATAAACCCCCTGGCATTACCATTAAAACACTAAGGAGCAGTTGCGCCACCTACTCTCCCCTCCGAAATTAAAAAAGCACGTGCTGCTTTATTACATATACATGTTCTCATGAGCAGCACACACACATCCAGGACTGTGATAAATGAGTCCAATAGTAGCACACGACCACTGAGGAGTCCCAGCTGCCTCCACTCCTTCTGGAGAAGACAGAGCCGAAGAACAGGCTCCACATCTCACATCTTCAACACCTATTTGTGGGTCAAGGGGCATTTCCTTCAGGGACTGCAGTAAATATGTTCCCATATTATAGTGTAGAAGATGGCTTCAACCACGTGCTGAGAAAAGGCTCAGAGATAAAACCCGTTTTATATCGTTTTTGTCACTTGTAGAAAAATGTTAAAGTAAGAGAAAAAGTCAGGTATAGATTTATTACAGACTAGTTTAGTAAAAAATCACAAGAAGAAGTCTAAGAATGCTCATTTGTTGTCCTTCACCTTATATACACATTTACATATAATTATATTTTCATGTAAAGAGAGCAAGAATATGAATGGATGGGGCATGTAACTAGGATCAAAACCAGGAGGGGATGAAAGAAGAAATGATGAAAGACCCTACCTGTTTGCCAGATGTACAATGCTTTAGTTTCTGCTGCAGTTTGGGCATCAAATCCCCACATGGAGAAAAAGAGCAGCGCTAACCTCCAAATACAAGGGAACGTTGGTTGTACCATAAACACAGCACGGCCAGGCAACCCCATGGTCCCCCCGCTTGTAGTTCTCAATGCAGTCAGGAGGAAAACCCAAGCCTGGCCAAGACAGTGTAGAACTCAAGTGTTTTTTCCCCTTTGTCCACAACAATAGTGGGTCCAAGTGGAATTAATCCGGAGCAAACAAAGCTGAGTCAGCCAACGTTTTCTCCTTTCTCTTTGCTTTCTTTATCCTGGCATCTTAATGGGAAAAAATGAGCTCAGGCATCAACAAAACAAGGAACAATGGATCGCCAAGCCAAGCCTGCTGCTGCTGCTGCATGCCGGTTGGATGCAACGCCTCCCTCTTTCTGTGTCTCTCTCTCTCACACACACAGACACATGCGCACCTTCTCATCCCTCCCTCCCTCGTCTCTCATACCCTTTGAAAAGGACTCAGTGAAGCCGTTCTCCGGATTGAAGTGGACGGTGGAAATGTTTGGTTTGTTCAGTAAAATGAAGAATGTAAAAAATAATGTGCTGGCACATTTCTATAATTAACATATAATATATATAAAATTATTATTATTATTATTATTATTGTATAATAATTTTTATTATATAATGATATGTTATTATTGTAATTAATTAAGTATTAATTAGATATTTATATAAATATATATCTATCCATCCATCCATCCATTTTCTTTACCCGCTTATTCCATTTTTGGGTCACGGGGGTCGCTGGTGCCCATGTCCAGCAATCACTGTGCGAGGGGCGGGGTACACCCTGGACGGGTCGCAAGTCCATCACAGGGCCACACAGAGACAAACAACCATTCACTCTCTCACTCACACCTAGGGACAATTTAGAGTTACCAATCAGACTAACATGCATGTTTTTGGTCTGTGGGAGGAAACGGGAGTACCCGGAGAAAACCTACGCATGCACGGAGAGAACATGCAAACTCCACCCAGAAAGGCCCCTGGACCGGGGTTTGAACCAGGGACCTGCTCGCTGAGAGGCAGCAGCTCTACCAGTTGCGCCCAATATATATCTATTCTGAAATAATATAAAATATAATATAATCCTCAGGGATGTGTGCTGAGCCCTCTCCTATTCACTCTGCTCACGTATGATTGTGCAGCTACCCATTGAGGCTGTCATATTGTAAAGTTTGCAGATGATACAGCGGTAGTGGGATGCATCAAAAACAATGATGAGTCCAGCTACAGGCAGGAGGTGGAACACCTGGAGAGCTGGTGCAAAGAGAATTACATTCACATCAACGTGAAGAAGAAGGAGATGATCGTGGACTTCAGAAGGAACAAAAACACCTATACCCCTCTGAACATAAGAGGATCTGCGGTGGAAGTGGTCTCCAGCTACAAGTACTTGGGTGTACACATGAATGACAAGCTCAGCTGGAGCATCAACACCACCAGCCTGATCAAGAAAGCTCATCAGAGACTCTACTTCCTCAGACGGCTGAGACGAGCTGGTCTGGGAAGCTCAGTCCTCACCTCCTTCTACAGGTGTGCAGTGGAGAGCATCCTGTGCTCCAGCATCAACGTGTGGCATGGAGGCTGCACAGCTGCAGAAAGAAAAGCTTTGCAGAGAGTGGTGAAGGCTGCACAGAAGACTGTTGGAGTCAGCCTCCCCACCATCACATACATCTACACCTCCAGATGCAGGAAGAGGGCCACCTGCATCATGAAGGACCCCACTCACCCAGCACACACACTTTTTGCCCCACTCTTCTCAGGAAGGAGGTTAAGAAGCATTAAGTGTAGAACCACTAGACTGAGGAACAGCTTCTACTCTGAGGCTGTTAGACTCATGAATATCTAACCAGAATAGTCACTGTGAAAAATCACATCATGTTGCTGCTGATCTGTTTCATGTTGCTGCTGATCTGTTTCATG